TCATGTATGTTCATTTTCGCTGGCCACCTGAAGGGAAAAAGTGACGCAGTGGACATGGGAGCTACCAACAGTGCTCAGCTGCTGAAAAGTCTTTAGCATCCCAAATTCTCCAATCAGTGTTAACACCGCTGACAGATGTTCAGATGATCAGCATTCATGTGTCCCGTCATCACTGCATCTCTGAAGGGATTCAGTTGTCCCAGACAAGTGGCAAAGCTTGTCCAGAGGGATGCTTTTGTTCTGGGAGCCAGCGGCACCCACGCTGCTGGCTTCAGCTATTGTAGGTTTGTAATCTTAACAGAAGCAGAGGGGATCTACACCCACAGCTTTCACAAAAATTAAGCGTATTTAAAATGCAGCTTTTTCTTCCTGGTTTTGTAGCTGTGCTAGAAAGTCATTACACATGGATTTATTTTTCCTTATCTCTGGGATTATCATCAGCTTCCTTCCTTCCTGGATGAATTTATCTAGTGTTCTGATTGCAGCTCAGTTTTTTTATCACCTCCTGTCTATGGGGCTTAAGATTTTGTATGTTTAACATAATTGAGCTGAGTATTTTGCAGCAATTGACAGTGAAGATAATTTTCCACCGATTGATGGCTTGTTTACAGTGAATCTTTTTTGCAGTCTACTCACTTTGGCTATTTGCTGTTTTGGTTACAGACCTGCTTGATTTTATTCGTATTCTATTTCTCCTTTTTTGTCCTTGTATTTTATTTCATATCTGCAACTGAGCCACACACTAATCTGACTTTGGAGAGTGGAAACTAAGACAACATTTTAAGTTTTAAGAAACTTCCACGGAGATTCAGACAGCTGATGAAAGATAAATCCAGTATGCAAACAGGGTCATGAATATCTTAGAAAACAGCAGTTTAAAATATCAGGGCATCAAATATCTCTTCAGTCTCTTTCTTTGGACTGGGCTTGGAATTTGATTGTAGGGTATTGGTTATTTCTGGGCTCAAGCATCAGTCAATTGCACAGGGAACAGGGAAGAAACAGAATAAAAAATATTTTAGATAGGTGTTTAAGGGAAAATGGTATTAGATGATTTTAAAACAAAAAAATCCGTAAGTTGCGTGAGACTGCGACCAACAATGTCCTACAAGGGCTGATCACTAGAACTAGGATATCATATTTTCAGAGCTAAAATGCTTTCTTCTGTGTGCATGAGGGTGCAGGGAGAGAAGGGTAAGTTCATTGTACCTGGGATGTGGTAGTTAAACTAGAAGGATTTTTTTAAAGCTTTCTGTGAACTAGGAGAAATTAACGTTTTTTTCTGAGACATCTCTAATTTTGTTATTAATGACAATTGTATTTTAGTGTGTGTTAGCTGGCTGACATTTACCCCACACAAGTTTTAAAGCATTTTATATTGAAAATGTATCTGCCTGAAGGCTTATCCCTAAGTCTGAATCCTGTATAAGTCCCATAGTGCTATTTTGTTTTGCTCTGCATATAGATACTCTTCCTTAACAATAGAAGGATTTCTCCCTAATTATTATTGAAATGGGTCATTTTTGTTATCAAATAGGTATCAACGCAGCTTTACATCAGAGTGATGGTGATGTGTGCTATAAAACAGTTTGGGGTTTTTCAGTGCAAGTGTCTACGTATACCAGCTGCTATAGCATGTTAATGAATTTTTGAAAAATAACCCTTTCAGAAGTTGTATAGACAAGCTCTGACTGCTTGCCTGAGGAAAGAAAGATGATAAATTAATTTAAATATTAAACACCAGTTGAGGCGATTAATTTTTAATGAATACAATGAAAAACTGGTTTTGCTTGTATTCCCTGGAACACCCTTTCAAAAGCTTTGCTTTTCCAAAATAGTTTTTTCTTTTTCCTGTGCGTGTGGCAAAGGATGTCACTTGGTTCACAGCAGGTAGGTTCATTAGCTGGCATCTCTGGTATAATATCCAGCTGTGGAAAGCTTATAAATATTGGTATTTAGGTCATCTTAATTAGGCCTTGAAATAAAGATTTAAGATAGAGGAATAATTGCGTACTTCGCTGTGGCTGAGCTTCTTCAGTGAAAAGAGGGTGCAGTTCCCAGTCTGATTTCAGCAGAGTTGCTGCAAATCCACCTCACCGATGCTCCTGTGATTGCACAGGTTCCTGTATCGATTAAAACTAATTATTTGGGGGCAAGGTGAAAGATGTGGCAGTTTTCAGCTGGATTGGGTGCTGGACTGGATGTCCTTGCTCTCACTGCTACCAATGCCAGCACAGGGGGGGCATTGGGCTGGGCCAGTCCCCATTTATATCACTGGAGGCTTCTGTGTGACCCATGCTTCTTCATTGCTGGTGATTTGGGGGTTTTACCTCCTCTCCTCCTTCCTCTCCTCCTTCCTCTCCTCCTTCCTCTCCTCCTTCCTCTCCTCCTTCCTCTCCTCCTTCCTCTCCTCCTTCCTCTCCTCGATGAATGTATTGAGAGTCATGCTTATGTTCACATTATTTGAGAGGGAGCTCAGGCATCAATGCTCCTCTCCCAAGCTTGGGTGAGCAAAGAGTTTCTTCCCCCTCTCTGTGCAGACTTAGTTGCCATGTTAGGTCCCCAAAATACTACAAAATCACTGTTGGTGAAAATCAGTGTGAGTTCTTCTGTGCCAAGAGGGGTGGCAGCGATCTCCATACAGCCTGTGTTGCATTTGAGGTTAACAAGCAAAAACCAGGAGATCAACAAGGGAAGCCAGAGGCATCTGAACAGTCAGCGGGCTATGAGATAACCAGTGTTTAAAGCTGCCCTGCAGCTGATGAAATGCAGTTGCCAACCAATGCATCTGCCTTAACAACAGACACAAATGTAGGTCTTCAAACCCATCTCTGTCAAGCCATTGGCAATGAAGTTGAGGACGGTGTGTAATTTTGGGTGAGGAGTGGCTTGGAGGAGGGTTGCAGTGGCATCTGGAGTATGCATCTGGTGTTGTACAAGCACCTTTCGGCATCTAACAGGTACCTAGGGGAAATACTGTGTGACTAGTCTGGTAGATTTAATACAAAGAAAGTGGCAAAGTTGTACTGGTGTTTATCTTTCTTTGACTAGCAACACATGAAGTATGCTTTGGTGCTGTAACACCACGAGATGGGAGGGTGTTGTCATTGTTATTAAGCTAATGACATATAAAGGGGTATTAAAAAGCAGCGGCCATCATCTGCTACATCAGTTGTGCTGCTCATTGAAACGTAAGGACCAATGTAACTGAAAATGGAGGAGGAGCTCCTCATGGTCTGAATTTCTCACTGTAAGAGCATCTCTGTGTCCTCTGATTGTGGATGGAGCCGAGGGAGCACCCATGGGTGCAGGAGACAGATGTTTTGTTTCTTCTCTCTTGTCTGTGCAGCAAGTTCAGCACACCCTGAAATGCAGACTTTATTTTTTCTTAGCATTTTGAAGGTGTACCCTATCTTACACCAAATCTTCTAAAATTCTAGTTTAGACAAAGCCTGAGGGGATTTAGGTTTGCATATTTTCCTAAGAGGATTATGCTTCACACTTAATTGCTCTATAAATTGTTTGAGCACTTTTAAATTATTTTCCCAGTACACAAAAAGCCGCATACACATTTGAACTGTCCTGAAATGTGTTGTCTGGAGGTTAGTGATAGAAATTTGGTGTTTGAATTAATAGTAAACTGAATCACTGAACCTCAGGGTTATTTTGAACTGAAAAACATTTTGGTAACCAGATTTGCAGCACGGCTGCAGGAACAGTTGTAGCAGCACAACTGGAGAGAGTAGCAAATTGCAAGATGGATTAGCAACTGCTTACACTGGCATCAGAGAAAACAATTTATTGTGAAAATACAGCCCAATGAGCACCCTTCCAAGCATGAGCATGATCATAACACACTGAGATTTGGGAAACTCTTTACACACAAGGGAGTAAGGCAGCTTAGTGGGAAGAACATTGGGGAAAAAATTGTGGTAGTCTATGAGGACTTCTGTAATTTACGTTCACACTCATAAAATCACTGGTGAGGCACTGTACACCTCAGCAATGGCCCCTAGGAGTGGTGATGGGTGCTGACACTCCCCATGCTATCCGGATGCTGTGGCACGATGCCTTCTCCCCACTGGTTGTCACAGCTGATTAATGCCCACCAACGGGGTTGTTTTGATGATTGCCAGCTTCATCTTTCATTATGTGCCTGCAGTTGGGCTTTATCTTACACATTTGTATTTTTTCTGTATTTATGGTTGGTTTTGGAGGGCTGGGTGCAGCTCTTCATTTTGTGCTGCTGTTGGGGTGTTTAGAGGCTGTGCAGCAGCAATTGCTGCCAAAACCAAGCCGGTGCCAGGGCTTCTTCTCTACTAGGACAATCAGAGAACTTGAAATGCTAAGATTTCCTTATTTTATTTCACTGAAGGTGGAGGAGAGATCTGTTTCAACCATAGAAAACTGGTTTAAAACATGAGTAAACTCATCTGTGCTGAGCTCCCTTTTAAACTGCTAGTTTGTACCCAGTGGTGCTGGCTCCATCATCTTTCATCTCTCTTCAGCCACTCCTCACAGGAGGGATGAGGTGGACGTCACTGAGAGACGAGTGGCATTTATTTGGTAAAGAGGGCAAGGGGCAGAGAGAAACATCCGCTGCAGCAGTGTGAAAGATGGGCAGTCTCTGTAGATCTGCATTATTTTATCAAAGAACTGTACTTTTAGCATTGCAAGCTGTACCGCAGCGAATGTGGGACTGGTGTTAGGCGGGTGTTAAACCCTTGAAAGAAGGAGAACCTGAAAGCACAAACTGAGGCGGAGCTGTTGAGAAGTTTCAACTTCTGTTTTGCTATAGAAGCTTGTATGGAGTAAGTTTGCTTCTGGTTGGAACCAAATTGATTGAGTAAAATAAGCAGAATCAAACAAAATTGATTAATATCCAAAGTTATGGCTCGGCTGGTGAACGGTGATTTGTGAGCTTTACTAAACAACAACTCTGAGGACTTTCTTATATCCAGTACCTCATGGTGATGTTTTGTGTTCTGTTTTCCCTGCAGACGTCGGCTGATCTCACAGCGATCTTCTCTGGAGACTCTGGAGGACATCGAGGAAAATGCCCCACTGCGGAGGTCATTTTATTTACTCTCTCTCTAGTTACTGGTCTGTAAGGTGCATACACAGACAGACTTGTCCCTGCACGTGTTGGAAAATAGCTGCGTGTTCATAGCACGTAAAGGTATTAAAACCTCATTCACCCTGCAAGGTGGTAGATGACATGAACTACACGCTCCCAGGTGTTAGGTTATTAAATAAAAAGTCAATATTTAAATAAAATGGCAGGAAATAGAAAACCAAATTTGATTAACAGAGAGCTTTAGTTGTTACTAACAGGAATGACTAGCCTCTAATGTAGTACGTTTAAAAATAAGCACAGCTGGTTGAATGAAGTAAGCTTTTGAAGGCTAGTATTTTTAGTAATCTTATATTTGATGGATTTTTATTATTTGTTCTCTCAGCACACACGGTCTTATTTTGGTAACCAGCGTTGCTGTCTTTGTGTGTAGACTGGTACATTTGTGACTGCTACCTCACTAATAAATCTGCTCCCATCCTTGTTGTATCAGCAGCTTCAGTGCGGTTTTATTTCTGCATCCAGGAGGCCACAGCTTCTCTGGGGACCGCAGTAATTAGTCACTAGGCAATCCTCTGGGGTGATGGAAAATGGAGCAACTGCTGAACAGTTCAGAAAGAGGCTGATCAGTAACCTGACCAGTGCATGGTGTGCTCCCAGGTCAGCTGTTCAGCAAGGCAGCAGCTTAATTTTGAATGTCTCTTTTATCTTGGGACCTGTAATTCACCTGTTTTATATTGATGTTTAGCCTATAGCCTTGTTTATCCACATGCAGATTGGCTGTCTCTCCCCACCTTGAAGCAAAAACTTAATAGCAGAGACTATACTGGCCTATTACCAAGGCTCGATTATTTTTACCAAGCTTACTGTTGAATACTTACCAGCATGTTGTGAAGCGTTCACATAAATGATTCAAACTCATATAATTGGCAAAAGATATAAACAAAGTATGGCTTGTGAGGCAGTATTTTTACTTGCTAATTTGCAGAGTTATTGATAGAACTTCTCTCTCGGTGATATTTTCCCGTGAAGAAGCTAACAAGGTTAATTGCAACCAGAGGGCGAGAGAATCTTGAGGGTTTTACTAACAGGAGTAAGCAGAAATGGCAAAGTGATGAGGTCCCCTGCTTCAGGGTGTGCCCATACAGAGGGACGGTGGTTGGGTACAGTGATGAGAAGTGGGGGTGCTTTCAGTCCAGCAAAGGTACTTGTTGGGGTTGGGAAGCTGCTGAACTCTGCCTATGCATAGGAGAGGATGGGAAAAATGGGTTAGGGAGGCTCAGTGCAGAGGAACTGTGCTGGTCCTGTGTGCTGGCGGAGGATGCTTGTCCCTTGCTCCCACGGAGGATGCAGCAGCTGCGGTGCAGCAGCCCTGGCCACACAGCCAGCGCAGGATTTATCTCTGGTACCTGCACACCGTGCTTTGCCTTGCAATGAAACAGCGCTGAGATGAAGCAGAGAAAGCTTTCACATGTGTTGTGGTTTCGGCTGATTAAAAAAGAGCAGAGCTGGAAGGGGTGTGGGGGATATTTCTGTTTGTCTCATCTCTCCTCCCTCTGGCAATTTCTTTCTCTGACTGCAATTTTAAAAGTGCGTTCAGATGTAAGATATAGAAGTAAGGATTAATGTTTTGAAGAAGGATTTTTTCCACCCTGAGGTAATTTATTTTCCTTTCAGTTGTTTTGTATGCTGTTAGGAATGTGAAAAGTAATATTTAGAGTTAAAAGCAAATAGGAATTACTCTTGCAAAGGAGGGATTTTCAGTCTTTCTAAAATTAAAACAAGAAAGAATTGTCATCAATAGCTGAGGAGGATACAAAAGCGTGGGTGTTGGTGTGAGAGGAAAAATCACATACTTACCAGGTTTTGTTTTAGTTTAATTTTTTTTTCCTCTCTGAAAGCTTGTGCTAAGCTGCAACAGTAGATTACAGGAAGTTTTATTTTGCTGAGATTTTTTAAATGATGTGGTTTTTTGCATGAAGGGAGGGGTGGTGGTGCCTTTTCTTATTATTATTTTAAATATTTTTTTTAATTGAGCTGTCACATTTCCAGACTTATTGTCTTTATTGTTCTTGCTGATTCCCAACACAAGGTGACTTGAATCATTTGTCTCGTCTTTCCTTCCTGCCTTTGTATAGACTTCTTGGCTGTACAGCAGGGAACTGAGTACTTTTATTTCTCCCCCCCCCAAACTGATTTATTTTTCAGATGTCGGACACTCTCAGGATCACCTAGACCAAAGAACTTTAAGAAGGTCCATTTTATCAAGAACATGCGGCAGCACGATACCAGAAACGGCAGGTACTGTGCATCCAAAGGCTGCTTCTGCAAAGGCAACCCATGGGGTGTGGGGCAAAGGGCAGGGTCAGCATCCCAGTGCAAGAACACAGTGTCCCATTGCCACTTAATCATGTATCACATACGTATTAATGGCCTTTAAAATAGTCTGTGATTGTGCAGGCTGCAGTGCACGCTCGTTCCTTGAGTAAAATATGAGTCAGTGGAAGTGCTAGCCCATGGATTTGTAAGACTTGTGTCCCCATAATACAAATAGCCTGCATAAAATGAAAATCAGAGTAAACTGGGCATAATCTGGTTGCATTTCTTCAAGGGTAGTGGCAGGTACTAAGTGTGAGGGGGGCACATGGCCAAACCTGCCTTGAATAAGTTTAGGCTGAGTGACATTTCAGCATCTATTAGTGGGTGTGAGGGGAGGCAACAAGCTAGCTGGGTTGTCAGGGCTGCCTGTGGCAGGAGGCTTCCTGGACAAGGAACTCAAGAAAACATCTTCAGGGAAAGGTATTAAGGTTACCCAGAGTCTTACAAGATAAATTATACATGTGACAGATCCCGATTGCACTGTTGTGTCCTCTCAGATGCAAAGTGCTGGTTGGTGAATGGGCAGCTGGGGCTGTCTGTGGCAAGGTGAGGAGGGGGATCCTTGTTTTCAGGGCAGACACAGGCAGAGAGACTCCTGGAGGATGTGCGAGGGGTGCAGCGGGGACGTGCACTGCCCAAATTGCAGCCGTAGGCACCGGTGGGACCTATACAGCACTGATCAGAAGGGACTTCCCTTACTGCAAAGGCGCAGTGCCTGTTTTGCTGTTCCCATCAGCAAAATAGGTTCTTCATTGTGATATCATCCAGCTCAGAACTGAAACTAACTCCTCCCTGCTTGTAGACACCTGTTTTTTTCCTATTGACAATTTCCAAGACAATTTTCCTATGTGCCTCATGATTTTATTCTTGTCCTTCTAAACCTGAATAGGTTTGAAATAAGCTACCTGAACAGGTTGCATATAGACTAAACGATCTTGCTGAGAGCTGACCCTTGCACATGCCTGTTCTCATACAGCTGCTGTGGGTGAGAAGTGTGTACGTTCCTGTGCGTGTAGCCTGTGGTTTCCATCAAACGTTGAACCGGGCCAATAGAAATTCCGACATTACATTGAACCATGGGTTTTAGGAATTGAATTCTGGTAGGTGTAAATTGGCTCGAGCAAAATTTTCCTTGCATTTATTCTCACAGGTACCATTAAATGCAGTGAAAGGTAGTAATCAACATAAATATTGCAGAAAAGGTGGCTGTGAGAGACGACAGCTTTTTAGAAACAAACATGCAAAAGTGTTGCCTTAACTGTTGTCTGAGTAGCAGCTGATTATTGTCTTTACAACAAATACATATGGAATCAAACACAGAAAAGCAGCCCTCTAATTTTAGTCTGTTTTATGCATAAATAGATGTATGCTCTGGGAATTTCATACAGCAAAAAATACTTATTCTTAAGGTATTATGCAAATTCCACAGAGAACAAGTAATTTCTGAGATGTGTATATAAAGAACAAGTAATTTCTGAGATGTGTATATAAAGAACAAGTAATTTCTGAGATGTGTATATAAAGTACATGCATAAACTTGTTAGAAATATTACCTGCGAAAAAATGAATAAATATTTGATTTGTAAACTCTATTTTCCATCTTTTGCAAAAAGTATTTTTAGGATATATACAGCCTTTTATCTTAATTCACAGATCAGTCATTATGTCTGATAATATGACTGAGTATTTTTCTTGCTAAGAAAACAGTGAGTAAGCTTCTGCTATTCAACTGGCTTATCTTTATCGGCAGACACAGTTTTTCAGAATATTTCTGTAATCATAATAAAGATCTCTTTAGCTAAAATACAAATACACTAAGAATACAATACACAGTTTTGGAAATGCTTTTGAACCATGCGCCACAGCAATATTAGCTAAAAATAAAATGCAAAGTCAACTCTTTATGTCACCAGCTAAGCCTAGCAGTAAGTAGTCTGAGCACATACCCTGGTTTACCGAGGGGTCTGGATGCTGTTGCAGTCTCTGAAGCATTCTGGATGAGAAAGACCTCAGCAAAGTCAGGTGGATTTGCTTTATGTGTTCATCCTAAAATAGCAGAGTTTTTGAGTACCTAAGACCTTTAAAGCTGGTGACCTCCCTGGCTCCTTGTGATACGGAGGAGCACAGGTATTGCAGTGGATAAAAAATCCTCCTGGGGCTCCTTCTCATGCCTGGGACCTTGTCCCATGCGGCTTGTGCTTGGTCGTGCAGATGCTGAGCCAGGCTGGAGTCAGGCTCTCAGAGCTCTCTCCAAAACCCCTGACCCTTCTGTTACTGCGTGTCAGCCTTTCTCTTAACGTGAGGAACTCAGCTTTGAAAGCATCTACACAGAATATATTTTTGAGTGGTGAATTTGATACTTGGGCTTTCACTGACTTGTGACTGTGAGTGTCACAGCAAAGAAAACCACAGTATGGATGATAGCCTGGGGCTCGTTCTTCTGCTATGGGCCCTTATTTGTGGCTCTTAGCCTGTAAGTGAGGTGTCTTTGTCCTGTGGCACTGAGAGCTCTTCCCCTCTCAGCCCTGGGGATGACACACGTTGAGCAACGGTGCTCTGGGTCCAGCCTTTGGCAGCCCAGCAGCAAGGCAGGACAGGCTGTGGTTAAAACAAGAGTTCAGCTATTTCAGGACAGAGAAAAACCACCTATAGACAGACCGCAGCTTATCAGCCAGTCCTTGTGCAGCTTCCTGTTGATGGTTTTGTGCACTGGTTAAACCGGTTTCTTTGGATTTGTAGGACATAGCTTATTAAAGGAGCTGGAAAATGAGGTTTCCTAGACTGTATTATCAAAGCAGTCTTCTAAAGTAACACAAAATAAATTTTCCTATTAAAAGACAAAGACAAGCCAACCCTGACATGCAAATTGGCACAGATAGCCACCAGTGTGTGGTTTCACCAACTTTACTCAGCATTTATTGTTGGTATCCTCCATACACTGTGAAGCAGAAGCTTTCCTATCCAGCAGAAACAGGCCAACAAAACAGCAACCTGAGCCAGTTGAGCAAACAATTCATGGTGAGAACTGGAAAAGAACATTTCTGGAGTCATCCTGTATAGCAGATACAAAAGCAGTAAAACAATGCTCTTCTCCTACCCCCATGCAATCGCTTTCTCATATTTTTATTAGTGTGTATACAGCTCCATACCAAGGCCAAACAGCATCCGTAGGGTATGAAAGGTCTGGTTTGCTGCCCTTTTATTTCTGGAAATGCACACACAGGCACTCTATTTGCAGTGTCCTCACTGTTCATTATTACTCTCAGCCACCTTCCAACAGCTCCAACTTGAGTCTGGGAGATTCTAAAATGATGTCTGCCACCCAAACGGCATCCATGGTTTGTGTGTTCACCTCTGCGAGCAGGGCAGCAAAGCCCTGTTAGTCAAACTTCATCAGTCAGGTGTGAAAGAAGAGGCTACAATGTTCTGCACATGTATGGTATATATGATGTATATCACATTGTCTTTTGGTGCAACTCAATCAAACCTAGACAGACACTAAAGAAAACAGACATTCTTCTTCTTCAAGTCAAGCAAATTACTGATTCTGTTAAGAGCCTTGTGCTCAATAATTTTTTGTAGTTTTATAGCATACACTCATTAAAGAAATTGGAGGATTAACTTTTTTACAGTCTTAGACAGTTGCACATTGTCAGAGCTTTCTTGCAAAATAATGGTTGCTCTGAACCACAGTAATTAGTACAACTTCTTGGTGAAATGTGAGAATTAGAGAGTGAAGACCTTTCCATGCAGTAATCTTAAACATGTTGAGGTGGCACAATGGAAGTCAGGGCACGTAAAGTCAAGCTGCTTCTGATGTACAGAGATAGTCATACAGAGCTGCACAGAGTCAGAGATGCTCCTTGTTGTAGAGTTGAAATCCAGGAATATGCTTTTCTCCTATAAACAGTAATTCCGTTTTCTTGAACAGCAGCCAGCTTCCATACACCTTCTTCTCCAAAGTGTACTTTATGACATGTTTCTGGACTCTCTGCTCCGGCAAACCATTGCTGGCCCTCAGAATATTTTTGTTTTCCATGCATATCATCAGACTGCTAAATAAAATAACTTTTTATCCCTCCACGATGAGCTTCTGACTGCTGCCTTCCCTGCTTCCTTTCCAGTCCAGCTCCTAAGGCTGTTTTGCACCAGCCCCTCCAGCAGCTCTGCAGATGTGGTTTTGTGGAATCCTTGTGGTGGAGGCCATGGGCTTCTCTCCTGCTCTGCTTGGGAAATCTTTATGTAGAGAGGATCTCCCAGTTTATGGAAAGGCAATACTTGGGTCCCAAGGGAAGGAAATCTGAAACAAACCTAGATGCTGGGCTGCTGTTTTTTATTTCCTTTCTGGTCTGATTCCTTCTGATACACACACAGCAAGTTTTCTGTGGTAACTTCCCACTGTTGTCTTTGCTTGTGGACACAGAAGCACCAATTTGTTTTTCTTTTAAGTAATAAAAGTTGTTTTGGGTTTTTTTAGGGAGGTGTAGGGCATTGGTGGAAAAGCTATATTTCCAGAAGCAACCAGAGGGAGTGGGGGTAATATGCTTAGTGGGTACTGTGGTTTTCCAAATTCAAAGATGCTTTCTGATGTCAGCCTCAAAGTCCGTGCCAAGTTTCATACATCAGCAAACAAGGCTTCCAGTGAAGAAGCAAGCTGTTGTGAGTAGCAACCATTCAGCAATAAGCAGTGGCAAGCACAAAATTAATCATAGGCCTGGGCTTTTTTTTGCTTGTGGACTGCCTTTCCCAAATGTGAAAAAAATATTCCTCTCTGTTTTTCAATATAGCAATGCATCATGAGACCATCTTATAGGATCTGAGGTATTTACCATGGGTAAGGGGTGTTACAGTATTCAGGCAAACAATGAAATCATACCTCTGCTGCAGGAGAACTTCCTAATGCTGTATGCATGTTTATTATTAGAAACCCTCCTTTACTGAAAGGTAAATACCACTTTGCTTTTAAACATGCTTTTAAGGAGGAAAATAGGGTTGCTATAAAAGAATGGTCCAGGAGAAGGCAAACTGATCATTCTGCATTTTTCCAGGCATTGCACGCAGCAGCTCTCTTGGGGATCTAAACCTTTTCCAGGAAGGATGACTAAGCTGGTCCCTTAAGGAAATAGTGTTTTAATAGCAGCAAAACTGGTACGAGATTTGTAAGTGCATATGGTGGTGCATATTTTCAGACAATAAAGAACAAAATAGCTTGCTAGGGTTTGTTGTCCAACTTCGACCAGTGCAGGACAAAGGATGAAAAATTTGTGTGAAATCCTCACATACAGGTCTGTAGCGCAAAACATCAGAAAAATAAATGTTGGAGAGCAGAGCAAGGAAGTGCAGTAGCCCTGACAACCAACCTAGCAGTAGGTCCTAGCATTTGGACCACAAGTGGAGATTTTTAGAAAGGTAAAACATCAGTAAATTCCAACACTGATCACATTAGAAGATGGCACAAATTGCTGTCACTGTGTCTTAGAGGAATTTGAGGGCATGCAGCCTGTTGGTCAGCTTTAGAGGGAAGAAAGGGTCTTCTCAGTGTACATTATACAATTATGCAATTGTCATTGCCCTGAAGGTAATAAGGAAAGAGGGTATATTTATAAACAGTCAGTTACTTATTGGCATTTTATATCTTACATCTTAATCAAGCTTCTCTTGGCTTCTTGTCAACCTGCATCTCCCCAAACTATAGTTATATAGGTATTGGCAGTCTACACAGTGTTATAGAAGGAGGGTCTTGACTTCAAGATTTGGTATTGATGTTGCTTAATGATTTGTCAGACCTTAATGGCTAAAGGTAATAGCGTGGCTGTAAAGCAGATAAGTTGCTCTAAGTGATTTGATTTTAGGCCACACAGTGACTTTGCAAATGATGCGGAGATTTGGAGACTGGTTAAAAATACAAGGCATTTGCTGTAAGAGTGGCCTGGATTCTGAGATAAGCTCTGCACAGGCAGATAATGCATGCTTTCATTTAGCCAAATCTTGAGCTGCTTGCCTGACAGTTAGTAATGACTGAGACAGACGTGCTGGAGGAGAAGGGACAAGGAGCTGTGGGATCAGTCATGCCTGAGTGTCAATTTAACATCATAACCAGAAGGGCTGATGTGATTTCTGAGTGCAGAGGCTGGTGGTTGTCAGGGCTAGACACTGATCTTAAAGGTAAGACTGAAAGATATGATGTTTGTATCTGCCATCTCTGCAACCATTGAGGCCAGTGATACTGCCTAGAGACCAAGAAGGGTGATGAAGAAAAACTGGAGAAGACTCAAGGAGGAATCTGGAAAACAGTGAAAGGATCTGAATGTTTATGATAGTAGCAAACTTTGACCTCATCCATGAATCAGGCTATTTCAGGAACGGGAAGCTGAAAATCAAGGGAGTCCTCTGGTTTAGCAGAGAAAGGTCAGGACCCACAGCAGGAAGTTCTTGTCAGATAAGTGCAGACTCCAAGTCAGCCATAGAGTTGTGGTGGGTACCACCTGGGTTGGTGCTGGATTTGTCTGCTTAGTTTCAGCTGTAGCAGTGAGTGGTCAGAACAGCTCCTTGCCTCTCTGGGTGGACTCCTTTCACCAGAAAAATACCTGTCCTGGATTCCAAATAGTGTATTCAAGATAGTCTCCTGAGAAAGCCTCTAGAGGGGATGGAACTCCACGACTCATTTGCTCATTTGTGTAAGGTATGGTCAGGCTTCAGCACTTCTGTAAAGTCTCAATAGCATGATACTCTACCTGTGAGATAAAAAAGAAGAGTTTTATGATTACGAATTCCTCAACGGTGACGTCTGTTGCTTTGCTTATTGTGGTGGGATTTTTAAATTTTAGTCTTTGATTTCTTTTATTTTCTTTTATATTTTAGAATAGTCCTTATCAGCAGCAGAAGATCCTTCTGTAGCATATTTTCAGTGCTGCCATATCGTGACTGTACCCAAGTCGGGTATGTATATTTATACATGTACTACATAGTCTTTCTGGGCCTGCATGTAGACCTGATAATGGGCAACAGCATGATGGAGGCTAATGCTTTTGCATATCTGCTCTGAGAAGAGATAAATGCATTTAGATATATTTGCCTTGTGGAACATGAACCGGTTCAAACTGCAGCTCTCACTCCCCAGTTTATTCATGCGTGTTGTGGTATCTTCGATTATTAAACTGGAGAAATCTACTCCCCTGAAATCAATGTTCTTGAAAAATGCACTGTTTTTATTGTTTCTTCTGACTTCACTCATCTTTGACAAAACAACTGTCCTAGACAGCGCAACTTTAACTTTGTAAGTGGTCTTAGCTTTCTCATTCTTCCACACAAACATGGTGCTACTGTATCTAGATTTCCAGAACTACAGGGAAATAATTGGATTTAAACATAATGCCTTTTTGTTGTACATTTTGCCATTGATCAGATCACTTGGTCAGTGAAAACAGATAATTTTGGCCATAATACTATACAGATTCTCACCTGGTGCAAGCAGTGTCCATGGAGCTGCCTTGCATCTCTCAACGTGCTGAGACACTAGATCTCTGGTAGAAAAGTTTATTTGGGTTGAAGCAGTTCTCCAAAGACTGAGAAAGCTTTTTGCTCTTGCACTGAAACTGCAGAAGTGGAAGAAACTGGATTTGGGTAGGAGGTTTTGGCTGGCAAGCTCTGGGGCATGGCTTGCTGCGCCTTTAGAGGCGCAATGCAAGTCTGGGAAGGGCAGTGCTGGTCGGTGGCAGCTCCATGCCCGTGGGGCATAAGAGTAAAGCATGGCCACCATGGCCACTCATCAGAGAGCTGAGAGTTGCCTGCAGTTGGGGTCAGCTCGAAATCTGGGGAGAATACTCAGCTGATATATGGGAGCATCTGAAAGAACCACAAATCATCTAGAGTCAAATTCATCCAGTGCAAAAAGGATGAATTTGGCTCATATTTTTCAGCCATCTATTCAGTTCTGGAGAATGGCTTGCCACAAGCTGCTCATGCATCAGTAATTCAAAACAAAGGGAGATTGTTTTTAATGCACAAAGGAAAGGAGGCACCTTTGTAGAAGAGTTGACTTGCTGTTGTTGTACTTACAGTACATTTTTTCCCTTAATTAAAGAGGGATGACACATCAGGCAAATTCTTGACAGACTGGCAGCTTTGTTCGTTCTTCTTGGGTACACTGTCATTCATTTATGGTCATTGCCCTGTGGAAATTGCCTTTTTATTGAAAATTGAACATATTTTAGAATGCTGATGACTGGTTATACCTCCTAAATTACAGCAGTAATGAGCCCAGCTGCAAACCTAAATATTATTTCAGCATGTAATGTCTTGTGCCATGCTTACGCAGCAAAAAGGGCATGGGATGAGAAAGTAGAAAGTGCCAGTACTAAACAATCCGGCCCTGTTCCCTTTGCCAAAAAGCCAAGATTAAGAAAAAAGGATGCCGTCTGTCTTTCTTCCAGAGCTTCAGAGGAAGAGAGAAACAATTCAGTGGCACCTCCTTCCAGGAACAGCTGGTGCAAAGAACAGATGAGGCAATACAGCATAAACTGTAGCCACTCTGTTCAGGCTGCACAGTGTTTGCTTACTTCATTGCACGTTTTGGATGTGTGGTAGGAGGGAGGAGAGGCACTGGTACGTTTTTGAAGTACTGTAGTGACAGCACCCATTAGCTTTGCTTTCTCTGAATCTCTGGATTGCTGATGTCTGTCCCCAGGTGAGATGTCCTAACTGGTTTATGTTCTGCAAACGTTAGTGAAGGGTTTAGGAAGAGAAACAAATGGTTGCAGGGAGCCTTGGGCACATCTGCAATTAGACTGGAGAAAGCCCTGGCATGACATGCGTGCAGAGAAAACTGCTCCATGGGAGAGGAGCGTATGGCAAAGCTGCTGCTGCATCTCCACCACTGCTCTGACTCATGGGCGCTGTGGCCAGTGAGGAAATCTCTGGGCACAGCTGGGTTTTGGGCAGGCTGCCAGCCCTTTATGTTGTAGGCGGCACAGAAGTCCTCCACTGTATTGACGCTGGCAACTAAACTGTGCTAACAGATTCACTTAAAAAAAGTGATTTGAAAGGCAGTTCCTGCTGGCACAGCTAAATTCTGCTTGCTCAGCCAGGGTAGATGGGGCACCATCACCCCTTACCAGCGAGGGAAAAGCGGTGTACTCCAGGCTATGGTGGCCCTTCTTGCTTGCTCACTTTCCATGCTGGGATCAAGCTACAACAGCAAGAACCCTCCCCAAGCCCTCCAAAAAACTGTGTTTTTAAGTGGTTGCACACATACAAAGGGAGGTCTGGGGAGTACGGAGAGGAGAGCCATTGAAGTGCATGAGGGGATGAAATTTGACCTAGCCCCTTAGAATATCTTTGCCGAATCCACCTTCCTGGCAGCTGGCGGCTCTCTGAAGTGCGGCTGGCAGCAGGCATTTGAAAGGAAACATACTCCAGAGTGGCGCAGAGGCTGCCAGTGATGGATAGTAGGTTTTAGCCTGCGGTTTCAGAAGGGTCATCTGGTGGTGCTTGCTGGGGCTGAGAAGGAAGGATATAGTGTGCTGGGCAAATCAGTTTCTTTAGTTTTCTTTGTTACACTGAAGAGAAGTGAAAAGTACAGAGGAAAGAGTGGCATGGTGGGGAGAAAAAAGTCATGAACTGAAGTAATCACTAGAATTTTCTGCCCTCAAAATTTTATCCATACCTTGTATCTGATGGAAACCTAGTGCTTTAGCTTATAGTGCTTTTGTGGGAGTGAAAAGGGAGAAAACTAAATTGAAAAAGGTTTTGCGATGTGTTATCTCCTGCTAGAGTCACTGAGAGACAGGTACTTTACGTTAAGATTGGCCACATATTTGCTGGTGGCTTGAAGACACGCACAGCTTCATCTGTTTTCATGGCTGAGAGTAGGGTAATGGGCAGGAGAAGAGCTTGCTTTTCTTTCCCCATATAGACCAGCAGAGCAGCTGTGAGAGCCAACATAGCCAGGGAAAAGCACTGTAGGGAAGGCTGTACTGCAAGTCAGGAGCTGAAAGAGGCACTGAGCATCTTCCCTACTGGCTTCCCTTGGTCCTACTGCCCAAAGTCATCAGACCCTGCATAAGGTTTAGTGGTGGCTAAGGGCAGGGATAAGAGGGTTGCTCTGTACTGAGAGCACTGTAACAGTGTTATTGCCTCTGCTATTAAATTAGCAGATGCACACGCACACACAAACTCTGGTCATCAGTACAGGCTGGTCTGCAGAGGCAGGTAGCACCTACAGGATCCAGCAACACTGATAATGTTGTCTGAATGCTTGGCTTTGATTAAATTTTTATGAAATACCAAGTCATGGTGTGATGCGCAACTTAGAGGTGAGACAATTCAAGGGCCAGTGGTGGTACTGCAGGATCAGTTACGCAGTTGCTACTGTTTTTTTCAATACATTGGAAATCTTCATGGCTAAAGGGTATTCATGGTTTGAATTTTTCCGCCGAAGAAAATCTTGCTCACCTGTGAAACATGCGTGCTGTCACCACACAGATTTTGCGGTGAAGCTTAGAAACAAAACACATGCATGAGGAGATGTGGCAGTGACTACTCAACCTTTTTTTACCGTTGTGGAAGGATACTCATGCTTTATAAAAACTGTTTCTTCTTTCCTTTTTCATCATTCACTGATGTTATATTGGGCTGGCCAAAAAAGTAATTGCGGGAATTTTAATAGATGGACATACTTGTCTTGAAATGTAGCTGACTTTATTTTAAGCCACAAACTCATTGTGTAACTTGACAGCTGACAGTTCAGGCTTGTTTTAGAAAAGGAAAGTGCACGATTTCATTGACGTTTATTTGGCATCGATTTCAAAATGGAAAATCAAAAGGAACATTTTCATCATACTTTGCTGTATTACTTCCAAAAAGGAGAAAGTGCTGTGCAAGATCATAAAATGCTGTGTGTGTGGTGAGGGTGGCTTAAAACTATGGCAGTGTCAGAATTGGTTCGCTAAATTTCGATCCAGAGATTTCGATGCTAGAGATGCACCATGCTCAGGAAGGCCAATCACAGTTGATAACGAGAAGATAAAGGCATTGGTAGACTCCAGTCGGCATTTAATGACACGAAAGATTGCTGATAATCTTAACATATTGAAATTGAGCGTTGTAAACCATTTAAGACAACTTGGATACGTTAGGAAGCTCAATATTTGGGTACCACATGAGCTCAGAGAAATTAATCTCACTGAGCGGGTGCACATCTGTGTTTCTCTCTTGAAATGTGAAGAAAGCGATCCATTTTTGAGACATACAATAACAGGCGATGAAAAATGGATCATCTACAACAGTGAACAGAAAAGATTGTGGAACAAGCGTGATGAACCAGCTCGAAGCACTTCGGAAGCAAATCTTCACCAAAGGAAGGTGATGCTGTCAGTCTGGTGGGATTTCAAAGGTATTGTGCATTTTGCATTGCTTCCAGGGAACCAAGCCATTCATTTGGGTGTGTACTGTTGCTAACTGGGCAAATTAAATGATGCCATCACATAGAAACATCCAGAATTGGTGAATCGCAAACAAGTTGTGTTTCTCCATGATAATGCTAGACCACATTCAGGTTTGGTCACTCAACAGAAATTGCTGCAGCTTGGACAGGATGTGTTACCACATCCACCATATTCGCTAGACCTGGCACCATCAGACCACCATTTGTTTTGTTCTTGAATGGTGAAACTTTCATTGCTGATGAGGATATCAAGTCATTCTTGGAACTTTTTTTTACCAAAGAAGATAAGAACTTTTTTGAGCACAGAATTGTGAAGTCGCCTGAAAGATGGCAAAAGGTAATGAAACAAAATGGACAATATATTGCCTAATACAGTTTTTGTTTCCCATAAAAAATTTGCCTTTCATTTACCCAGAAAAAAACCACAATTATTATTTGGCCAACCCAATACTACAGATCATGTTGAGACCACAGTATTCCTTAATAATACTTACAA